TGCTTATTGATTGAAGGACAGGCTGTGGGGCCCTCGGGGGGCGCGCGGGGATTGGTGGCAGTGGGGGGGGGGCAGCCGCATCAAGTTGTCCATCACAACAAGTTTGCGCGGCTCGTCTGGAGCAGTGCAGCTTGTTGGCATGCGGTGAAGGACGTTGAGGACCAAAAGTACTTTTTGACCTCAACTTGATGTCAAAAAGTACTTCTGGCTGCGGAACACTGGCGTGCCGCTGATACTACTTTACAGTAGTGGTGAATTGCGGACGAAGTTGCAAGATACAGCTGTATGCGCCGCTGCACTGCTTGCGCGCGCATGCCCTCTTAGGGTCAACGGTGCGAAACAGCCAAGAGCGATACAGCGGTTGCGCGCGCTCTAATTTACAGTTTGTACGACGCCGCTGCGAGAGCATCCCAAGACTCTGGTCAACGGTGGCGGCGGGTTCTCCCGGCGGCGGGTTCTCCCTGGTTGTAAATAAAGTTTTTTATCATACGCAATATGCACCGTGATTTTAATACAATTCTCAATAAACTCAATTACAGTAGGGGCAAAAGAAGCCATTGAATTTCTTGAAAAACTCAAAGTATTGCAACCTATCACAGCACTCCGCCTGTCCAGTCCAAATATCCGCTGAGAACCCCCTCCGCAGTGCGGTCGAGAGGCAGCGAACTGCTGCCCGTTGCAGTCGCTTGCGGGCCGTGGACGGTCTCCACGCGGCGCACGCGGCCTCACGTGAGGGCGGCAGTGCCAGCCTTTCGCCTCCCCAAAATAGCCCGCCACCTCGCACCGTCTCGTACCCTTCACCTTCCGCCACACTTCCACGTGTTCCACGTGTACTGTACCCATACTCTCACCATCCATGGCGCTCATGTCTGCGCGCGCGCGCGGGCCTTCCACCAAAAAATTCACCTCGTTCGACATGCCCAGCACGGCACCCCACTACAGCACATCCCGCGCGCCCCGCCGTCCGCATCGCCCTCGCCGTCGCCATCGCGTCACCCGTGCGCGCCCGTGTCTCGCGGCGGCCGGCACTCCGCGCGCGCGCTCGCGCCCGGAGCGGCGGCGCCCCCCCCCCCCCACA